AAGCAGGTATTTTGTCCCACAGCTCAACTGCTCATCAGTAAAGTGCTCAAATTTGTTTTGTTTTGTTTTGTTTTGTTTTAATTATTCTTTTCAACCACAATTCAAAAGCAATGTCTTATTTCACAAAATTATAATTTAGTAAATTTTTATTTATTATTACTTTTTCCAGTTTCTAGTTATTTGAGTGACTATTGTGAATTTTGCCTTTTCTTTAACTGAAGGGTATGAATACATTTGAGGACGACTGTACACTTGACAAGAGTAAAGAGCGAGCACGCCAATCTTAGGATGATTCCTTCAGGAGAACAAAACTGCACATAATGTATTGATTTGACAAATGAGAAAATCATGCCTGGCATTGTTGCTGCTTTTCACCTCAATATCGATTCGGTAAATACGCTTTATTGGCATGTATATCAGGGTAACAATGCTGCCGAGGACGCTTCAAAAATGAGGCGAGAAAACAACAAAAATAAAAATAAATATTAGGTAGAACTGAAAAAGTGAATAACAGGATAAAAAAGAACGGGACAAAGGAAGAATAAAACAGTAAATATGTGTATGCGTGTGCGTCATATGCAAAATATAATAGGCTGTGTCAAGGTAATTGTCGTATTCAGTGATGTTTTAATTACGTGTCACTCAGCTTGTGAAGTGCAGTCACATATTGTGCGGCTAGGTACGCTGCGTGTCTCTCCCTTAATAGAATCTGCTGCTTTTCATTGTCATCGGTGACGTTTGGGATTAACGGGTGAGAAATTTTTAAAGTATTCCTGTCTAATGCTAATTTATTTGACACGTTTCATGAGGGGCGATCATCTCGGTGTTTACATCACCTGTCGGGCAGCGTCGTGTCCCCGTGTGTGTCGCCCTTTGTATCTCAACAGTTTATGTCCAGGTTTCATGAAGTGTGATGTAATGTCAAAGGGAGACGTGTGGAAACTTGAACTCTGTCAAATACTATGTAGCCCTGGAAGCACCATTATTTTCTAATTCTGCAGGGTGTGTTTGGAGCTGATCATCTGTGAGATTTGTCCTATATGTGCATGAGCAGCGCGTTTGAGCCAAGTTGAGCCTGCATCCGCCGAGTGGCTGTTGATACCTCAGCTGATCAGTTAGAAGCTGGGAACGACGAGTTGATGAAACAGCCTAACACGGATCGATGACTCCTCTCCTCCGTCTCCGCAGCGTAACACCGTGTAGGTGGCGAGCACCGAGTAAGTATGGACTTCCAGAAAACAGCCGGGGCCTTTTCGGATTTTGGGCCACCGAGGACCCGCGGCAAAAGGAAACTGGGGCACTGTGGGTTGGCCTCCCAGAATTCAATCAGCCCACTGACAAAGTGAGAGCCAATAACTGGAGGGCTGTGGAGCCCACAGTCATTATCTGCTATTTTAATTTGATTCCGTGGGAAAGCGAAGCGATGCCGCCACCTAATCCAGCACACTTTCACGTTTGATGAATTGGCCCCCGAGCTGCACCTAGCAGCTTCTGTCACAGTGGGCTGTCGGACACGGGAGGTCAGTTACACTGTGGGTCTCGCCACTCTGCATTTGGAGGAGGATTAAGTTCACAACACGGGACCCGAGGTAGGCGTATATATATATACGCAGCAAATAACTGTTTAGTTTCACAAGCCAAAGAGGGAAATTCCATCTGAATACAGGTGACCCGAACAAGGTTATTCTTCAAATAAGCGACACAACTTTTTTATGTATGCTGGATTTTTAACTGAAAGGCTCCATTTTTTCTATTGTGCATGATGAGCTTCAAGTGGCAGACAACCCTCTGTGCTGACAACATCCTGCACCTCTCCACAAGAACGACGGATCTCACCTTGTACCACACGATTTCAGGCTCCACTCCTGGCTGTATATAATCCTCAATGCCCGGGCAGGTGATGTCTTTGCTTTTGCTTAGTTCCGCCTTCTCAAAGAACCTCATTTTGGAGTTGTAGCAGAGGTCCGTGTCATTCTCCGCCACCGTGAGAGACATGGACACCTTCATGCAGTATGTGGAGTTCCTGCAAAGATAAAAAAGAACATGAATGAGGAGTTATATTAGAGCGCCGCTCGATGCTGCGGAGAAAAGCCGCCAGCGGTCCGTCTCTGGTCTGGTTCTATCAAAAGCTTCTCAGATTCTATGTGGATCATTAAAAGCAGCAGAGGGAGACCTTCCAATTAATCATCCTCACAATTGATGTAAATCTTTTTTTCAAATGGAAAGCCGTCCTTTAACACAGAATGTTGGATCGTTATCATTTTAATCTCGACAGCTATACAATGCTTCCTCATTCATAGAAGTTATAAATAGCAGTAATGCACAACGAGCCTTAAAAAAACATATACCTGGAAGTGTGTGAGTAGTGCACATGGGTACAAACGGTAGTAATATGAAGCGACAGCACTGAATGTCAACAGCACTTGAAGATTGATTGAGCCTTTTGTTTTCCCGTGTTACGCAAATATAGTGCGAGCTAGCAGAAAATTACTTGCTACAATTGATGTAGTGTAACTGCTCAGGTCATATACATAAAGAAGAGAATTTATAACGCAGGGGAGAAGAGGCGTAAAATGCAAGATTACTTGTAATGTTTAGAGACTACATGCTTGCCTGGGCCCCCTGATACTGGAGAGTATTCATCCACGGTGGAATAAACATTTCATTTTACTGCGGCACTGTGGCGTACCTTCGGTGATTTGTGTTGCTCCTCTATTGGGAATGCTTCGCTTTAAATACTCCGCCATGTGTATGTAGATGTAAAAGGGGCTTGTAGGGATTCCTGATCCGATCTGGCCGTGCACCGGGAGAGTGTTTCTTCACACGAGAGGGGGGAAAAGATACAGCTGCTAAGCATTTATAGCGATCCTGTTTGGGTCATTAATGGGACAGCGATTTTGAGATTGGATCTGCTGCTTGAGTAATTCTTAACAGAACATGGGAATCAATGAACACATCGATTCACTGCGAAAGTTGTGCTATTTGAGGGAGGGGAACAGAAGCAAAAGGTCCTTGATGATCAATGAATTCAATAGGAGCACCTTTTCTTCGCCCAAACTGGCTAATAAGACTGTCACAATTGACAAGTACTCCAGCAACTGACTGCAGCAAATCCCTCCTGGTTAAAAGACCAAACAAATTGGCAGTGTTTAGGAAAATCTCACTGCTAATTTTCTAACTAAAGCTGGTTACACAAATTGAGCTGAACCAACAAACAATTACAAACATGTTAAATCCTTACATAATTGCAAAGCATTAGCTGCCTCGTGGATTAGCGCGACACACGCTGGTCTTCGCTACAGTATCGCCAAACAATCCCTTTGCCCTTCGAACCGGCCACAGCCGCGGCGCGCCCCCCCTCTTACAGTAAGCGTGCCATTTTCCGTGAAGCCCACGGATGCAAATGTGACATGATGTGGAGATTATCCCAGACAACTTCTACCAGATGGACACCTGTGCAAATGAGATCCCACGGGTGCGCTCCCTTCCCTGTTAAATATTCTGGGCAGCGCTGATAAACTCGCCGGCTGGAAGAGAGCGAGAGAATTGTGTCATCTGCTCCGCATGAGTGATCGATGGTGTGGGCCAACACTTTGTCCTACGATGTCTTTCCAACATTTCACATCCATCACGATGCCTTTTGAGCCTGAAGAGCTGGGTGATCTCTTGACTATTCGCTCAGCAGTGTACGCTAATATTCATGAAGCACGCTCGAAAAGAATAAGCAGGGAAATGATCCTACTGCGGCACACTCCAGAGACCGATGCTGTGTACTAGCGTTGCCGGAGCTTGGCGTACTGCAGATACAGTGATAACAAGCGAGGTGATACCATGGCATTAATGGGTGAGAGTGTCTGTCAAATGTGTCAAACTGAAGGGGATATGCAATGTCGTGGCAATGATAGATAGCATCCTGCATACATCAACCCGGAGAAGTGTCAGCCTGACAGCTACGGTACACAGCTGGAGGGCAGGCAGAGGACTTGAGATACAACATGCGGCAAATGCAGTGAAATTATGTGCAATGGTCAGTTAGGAGTTAAGCAGCCTGCTGAGGAGGATTATGATTGGCATCGTGTGGAAAACCCCAAAGTCTCGCCGTGGTGGAAAACGCTAATTTGATTCTGCACCGGCTAGAATTTGCAGGTTAATTCAGAGCTCAATCCCTCCTGACCGTCCAATACAAACATTTTCCTTTTGTTTTATTGACCGACAATGAATCTCCCAATAACAAAAGATGATGGGAGCTGCCCTGTTACTCAGCAACTGTGCCATCTGATATTAAATAATAGGCCGCAGAATTGATTTGAAACTCTCCTGAGAATCCGGGGCACCTGTGGGGAAATTAATGAACTAACTTAATGAATCTCTTAATTAAAATAACTCCTCTCTAATATAAATTGGATGATGAAATAATTGCTTATTACTTATTACAGCTGACTTTCGAGTAACAATAACGCTCTTGGAGAATTGTGCCCGGTGTAAAACAGACGTCACGAGGCGAGCGGGCCAAAAGGTTGATTAAAGGCTACATCAGAACAATGTCATTACTGGGCAGTGAAATTAACCCACCACAGATATTAACCCTTTGGGGATTCCACGCAGCATGCTGACTTGCGCCGTACTGTAACATTAAGATCTTCCCCCAGGATGTCATTAGCATTTAAATAGAGATGACTGAGGTCTACCTGAAGTTCTGCAATACAATTCATGCCGCAATAAAACAACAACAGAGAAGCACAAAAGCATATTTATTTGCCTGAAATGGCTCCTTCAAGCACTGGGAAACGGCTTAGAATAACTTTAAGATGTGATTTCTGGAGGAGGTATGTAAAGGTTTGAAAAATACTTTAAGATGAAACTTATATGCAGATAATAGCGCATTTTGAAAAGATTGGTCAACTGTCTCATGTAGCATGCAAAGGAAACTAATTCATCTTGAGAAAATGAGGCACATCCTACTGGTGTGAGTGCTCAGTATACAGCACTGTTACTACTACAGGTGTGGATCAAGTGCATACTAACAAAAAGTCCTGGCTAAAAATGGGACTACTAAATCAAGAAAAATTACTCTTCATTAATTAACTCCACTACTTTTACTTTGAAAGTCTTGATCATTATAAGGGCTTGCCATATGCGCTGTATCTATTTGTTTTTCAGACCATTTCAAGGCTGTCCAGATCTTCTACCATTAAATGCGATGGCACTTGAAGATTTTTTTAAAGATTTATTATATTAGTATCTCACTATACAATGCTGGTAGTAGAGATACCTTTTTATAATTGGGTAGGGCAGATTGTGTGGAATCTGGCACTATCAAAGCCATGATGTTGGGATACTCTATGACTTAGAAATTTGGTAAACTATCTGGTTATAACCAGAAACCTACCTTCAAACAAGGGGCCCCCAATGGACCTGCTGTGGGCCCCCAAAGTTTAGGACTGCCACTGAATTTGTGCGCAAAGGCAACCTTCACTCGTCTTTTAACTATAACTTTTACATCATTGCAATACAAAAAGCAAAATACACTTTTTTTTGTTAATTTTTCAGACAGTGTAGGATAGAAACTTTGGAGATAGGTGCTGTAACTTCAAAACTGGATCCCTATTTGACACAACTAGCACCACTGGCAAGGTTGAGTCACAGAGTTTATTTTGATATTCGGAAGGCTGGAAGTTCAGCTGAGAAGCAGGGTGAAGAAATAATTAAAGATTGATTTATCTTCATACCGCGGTTACTTCAGCATATCTATAACAACTACAAATCTTTGGTTCCGGTCTTTCTTGTGATGTGACACCGCCATGCCACGATTGCATTGCATAGATTAACCCGTCTTCATATTCACATTTCTTCGCAGCGATGAGCTCATGAGTAATATAACAAGAATAATGGATGGGGACGTGGACGCACAGTCGTTGTAACTATGATTATATTTGATGCATGTTGGACAGGTCAAGTCGTACAGTGTCTTATTTCGAGAGCACTTCAGACGAGAAGGAGTGATGTGAATCCTTCGGGTTAATAATCCTAATGAGATCAGAGGACAATTACCGCCGTTATACGGATTTAAACTGCTTTAAACAGTTTGTAGCACTTCGTCATGAGTGGTGTGGGTAGATATCGAATCGCTGAAGGTCAGTTATACTTGTCTTCCCTGTGAGACTTTGTGATGTACCACATCCAAGAACAAATCTGGCTACGCTGCTGCAACCGCTGCATAAATTGTCCAAGTCTCTGGAGCTAAACTGGAGGAATAAACATTGCTCTTCAAACGATATTTCCTCATTTTGTTGTTTTGATAACAGCGGTGCGTTCACAGGAGGTGAAGCAAATTTCGGCTTGAATCACTTCTGCAAATTTCATCGTTTTCTCAGCCCATGTTGATTTAGAGACCAGAAATGGACACACTGGCTGTACGCTATAGGAGTGTATCCGTGTGTCAGCTCAGCCTCTGCCTGATCTCATAAGAACTCCAGCTCCTTCTGCCATTTCCCTCAAGTATCTTTCCTTTTCCCTTCTCGTGTCTGCACTTTTATGAAGTGAATTCTGCCCTGGGATAAGTGCAGATTTTTCACTCAAGCTGAAACATTTTCAAATCGTAAAGACGTGTTTTCACCTCTACTTGGACTGTCCTGGGCAAAGTGCCATTTAATCATACCCACGAGCGTCTTCCCATCATGGCAGATCTGCATTCTTGTGCCCTGGTTACCGTGGACAGAGTCGCATCAACGGCCGCCAGAGCATGTGAGTGACAACGCTATTCATCTTGTTGCCAGTAGACATTCCATACAGCATGAGGAGCTGTCTGGGCCAATAATTCACATACATATATACTGGTACTGAGTAGCTGCACATACTGTGTATTCATATTGTCATGTATTTATTGTACATAACCACATGCATACTCATGTATATATACATTAACACACACACATGCATAATGTGGGTGTGCAGTGTCTGCGTGAGTCTGAGGATGTATGTGTGCACGTCAAAATGGCAGCTACATTTGCTACAACAACAACA